TTGAATCTGCCTGTGGCCCTCACTGTGCTGGGCCCCCCAGCAGGCCTCGAAAATGGCGACAGTTTCGCAGATCGCAGCCCCCCAGGGATGGCGAGGTCTAATTTGAATCTGCCCGTGGCCCTCACTGTGCTGGGCCCCCCAGAAGGCCTCGAAAATGGCGACAGTTTCGCAGATCGCAGCCCCCCAGGGATGGCGAGGTCTAATTTGAATCCGCGCGTGGCCCTCACTGTGCTGGGCCCCCCAGCAGGCCTCGAAAATGGCGACAGTTTCGCAGATCGCAGCCCCCCAGGGATGGAGAGGTCTAATTTGAATCCGCGCGTGGCCCTCACTGTGCTGGGCCCCCCAGCAGGCTCTCCTCCTTTTCTTTTCGCCCGTTCTGGGGAAATGGGCGACAGTGTCACAGATCGCAGCCCCCCTAGGGATGGTCGAGGTCGAATTTGACTCTTGCCTGTGGCCTCACTGTGCTGGGCCCCCCCAGCAGGCCTTCGAAAATGGCGACAGTTTCACAGATCGAAGCCCCACAGGGATGGCGAGGTCTAATTTGAATCTGCCGTGGCCTCGCTGTGCTTGGCCCCCAGCGGCCTACGAAAATGCGACAGTTCACAGATCGCAGCCCACAAGGGATGGAGAGGTCTAATTTGAATCTCGCCAGTGTCCCCTCAGTGCTGGGCCTCAACAAAGGCCTCGAAAATGGCGGAACAGTTTCACCCGAATCCGCAGCCCCCAGGGATGGCGAGGTCTAATTGAATCTGCTGGCCCCCAGCCGCCCAGCAAACACAGGCTCGAAAATGGCGACTTCACAGATCGCAGCCCCCACAGGGATGGCGAGGTCTAATTTGAATCTGCCAGTGGCCCTCACTGTGCTGGGTCCCCCAGCAGGCCTCGAAAATGGCGACAGTTTCACAGATCGCAGCCCCCCGCAGGCAAGACAGGAAGAGGCAGGGAGGGAGGAAGGGAGGGAGGAGGGACGCGACCACACTGCTCTATTCAAAACGAATACCCAACCAAGGAGGGTTGGGAAAAAAAAGAAAAAAACACGCACACACACTCTCTCACTCACACATAACAAAACAAAACAACACATAACAAAGAACACAGACACAGACACACACACACACACACACACTCTCGTCGTCGACGGGGCGGCGCAGCGCCTGCCCGGCCAAAAGCCCGCAGCCGCGCGCGCGGCGGCAAGGCAAGGTACACGCACGATGGAAAAACGACCCAGGGGCGGCCAGATGGGAAACGAACGACGGAACACGACAAGGGCACACGGCACGATGTAAAACGACCAAGGTACACGCCAGGATGGGAAAAGCACACACGCACACACACACACACACACACACACACACACACGCACGCACGCACGCACACACACACGCACACACACACACCACAACACACACCCACACAACACACGGCACGCACGCACGCACGCACGCACGCACCACGTTCCGCACACAAACACACACACCACACACACACACACACACACACCCACACACGCACACACACACACCCACCACACGAACGCACACACAAAAAACACACACACACCACCACACACACACACCACAACACACATCAGCACGCACGCACGCACGCACGCGCGCGCAACGATCTGGCATCAGGCCCATCATGGACCGGTAAACAGTGAGGACGCCCCCCTGGCATTGGCCAGGGAGGGATACACGCCCATCCTGGGGGCCCAAAAACGGGCCTGGCCAGGCTCGGTGGCAAGTGCACATTCTTCGCCGCCCAACCCTCATATGGCAGATTCGCGTGGCGATGGGAGTCGGTTGGTCTCTGACACCCGGTGATCGTCAACAGGAAAGGATCGCGCTATCGGAACCAGTTCGAGGCCGGGGGATTGTGGAGTCGCTGTGGGTTTTAGACGAAAATTTACGATATTTCACGTTGTTCCTCATCATTCTGCTGATGTTTCCTTTCTCGTTTTCTCTCTCTCTCTCAATCTCTCCCACTCCCATTCCCATTCCATTCCCATTCCCAATACCATTACCATTACCATCCCCATTCCCATTCCCATTCCCATTCACATTACCGTTACCATTACCATTACCTTTACCTTTATCTTTACCTTTACCTTTACCATTGCCATTACCATTACCATTACCATTACCATTACCATTGCCATTGCCATTGCCATTGCCAATCGCCACTACCATCACCATTGCCATTCGCCACTAACATTACCATTACCATTGCCATTGCCATTGCCCTTCGCCACTACCATTACCATTGCCAGTACCATTACCATTCCGATTCACATTCCCATTCCCAATACCATTACCATTACCATTACCATTACAACTGCCATTGCCATTACCATTACCTTTACCTCTACCTTTACATTTACCCTTACCCTTACCATTCCCATTTCCGTTACCACTACCACTGCCATTTCCATGCCCGTTCCCATTCCCATTCCCATTCACATTCCCATTCCCGTTCCCATTCCCATTCGCATTACCATTGCCATTACCATTACCATTGCCATTGCCATTGCCATGGCCATTACCATTGCCATTGCCATTGCCATTGCCATTACCATTACCATTACCGTTGCCATTGTCATTGTCATTGTCATTGCCATTGCCAGTCGCCACCTCGTTACCACTATCATTACCGTTACCATTACCAGTACCATTACCATTACCTCTGTCATTACCATTACAATTCGCATTGCCATTGCCATTGCCACTAGCCACTACCATTACCATTGCCAGTACCATTTCCATTGCCATTCCTATTCTCATGACCATTACCTTTACCATTACCATTACCATTATCATTTCCATTGCCATTACCATTACCTTTACCTCTACCTTTACCTTTACCCTTACCCTTACCCTTAGCATTCCCATTTCCGTTACCACTACCACTACCATTTCCATTCCCGTCCCCGTTCTTTCTCCCATTCACATTCACATTCCCGTTCCCATTCCCATTCCCATTACCATTACCATTGCACTTACCATTGCCGTTGCCATTGCCATGGCCATTATCATTGTCATTGCCATTGCCAATCCCATTGCCATTGTCATTACCATTACCGTTGCCATTGTCATTGCCATTGCCAATCGCTACCCCCTTACCATTACCGTTACCATTACCATTACCATTACCAGTACCATTACCATTACCTCTGTCATTCCCATTATCATCACCATTGCCATTGCCATTCGTCACTACCATTACCATTGCCAGTACCATTTCCACTCCCATTCCCATTACCATTAGCATTACCATTACCATGAGACTACCGCTGCCATTACCATTAGAATTCTCATTCCCAATCCCAATACTATTACAATTTCCATTGCCATTACCATTACCATTACCATTTCCAGTGCCATTACCATTACCACTACCACTATCATTTCCATTCCCGTTCCCGTTCCCAGTCCCACTTCCATTCCCATTACCATTACCATTACCACTGCCACTGCCATTGCCATTACCATTACCATTACCATTACCATTACCATTACCATTACCATTACCATTACCATTACCTTTAACTCTACCTTTACCTCTACCCTTACCATTACCATTACCATTGCCATGGCCATTACCATTGCCATTGCCATTGTCATTGCCATTCCCATTGCCATTGCCATTGCCATTGCCATTGCCATTACCATTACCGTTGCCATTGCCGTTGCCATTGTCATTGCCTCGCTACCCCGTTACCACTATCATTACCGTAACCATTACCAGTACCATTACCATTGTCATTACCATTACCATTACCATTACGATTGCCATTGCCATTGCCATTGCCATTCGAGGATTTCAGTAGGAATCATTCAGTGGAGGGTTTCAGTAGGAATCCACATGTGGAGGATTTCGGTAGGAATCATTCAGTGGAGGGTTTCGATCGGAACCCTTCTGTCGAGGATTTCACTGTGAATCCTTCTTATGGGGGCGTCCAATAGGAATCCTTCTAGGGGGGAGGGCGGATGTGGCCACGTCGCATTCATTTTTTTTTCTCCTGGCGCCCCCCCCCCCCCCCCCCAGGAAAAAAAAAAAAACCTTTTTTTTTTTTGGGCGGGGGGGAGCAAGGGAGAGAAAAAAAAAAAAAAGATTACCACTGACACTGCCACTGCCATTGCCATTACCATTACCATTACCATTACCTTTAACTCTACCTTTACCTCTACCCTTACCATTACCATTACCATTGCCATGGCCATTACCATTGCCATTGCCATTGTCATTGCCATTCCCATTGCCATTGCCATTGCCATTACCATTACCGTTGCCATTGCCATTGCCATTGTCATTGCCTCGCTACCCCGTTACCACTATCATTACCGTAACCATTACCAGTACCATTACCATTGTCATTACCATTTCCATTACCATTACGATTGCCATTGCCATTGCCATTGCCATTGCCATTCGAGGATTTCAGTAGGAATCATTCAGTGGAGGGTTTCAGTAGGAATCCACATGTGGAGGATTTCGGTAGGAATCATTCAGTGGAGGGTTTCGATCAGAACCCTTCTGTCGAGGATTTCACTGTGAATCCTTCTTATGGGGGCGTCCAATAGGAATCCTTCTAGGGGGGAGGGCAGATGTGGCCACGTCGCATTCCTTTTTTTTTCTCCTGGTGCCCCCCCCCCCCCCCCCAGAAAAAAAAAAACAAAAAAAAAAAAAAAAAAAAAATGTGGTGGAGGGGGCGCCAGGAGAAAAAAAAAAAAAAAGGCAGAGAGGTAGCCGGAGGGGGAGAGGGAGGAGGAGGAGGAGGAGGAGGCGGAGAAGGAGGAGGAGGAGGAGGACGACACTGAGCAGAGTTTGCACAGAAACAGTCGCGAACTCAGCGCGAAACCCTCGCGCGAGCGCTGTGGAACCCCAGCGACTCCACAATCCCCCGTTCTCCCAGATCCAGGCCACCAGCGGCGTTCAACTTTGAACGCCCGTGCTGGCGTCGCCGCCGCGTCAACGCGGCGACAACCTGCCATACCTCCGCTCTTTTGGCACAGCGTGGGAGAGGCGCGCTCGCGCGGCGCTCAACGCCGTCCTGGGGGCCAGGATCGGTGCAAGTGCATACTCCTCGCCGCCCGGCCTTCACACCCCCCACCCTTTTGGCACAGCGTGGGAGAGGCGCGCTCGCTCGGCGCTCAGCGCCGGCCCATCGCCCGCCCGAGGCCCAGGGAGCCAGTGGTGATGTTGGGCAGCTTGTCCATGTCGAGCTCCTTGAGCATGTCGCGCGTGTCCGGATCCACCTGGATGTTCTCAATGTCCACCTCGGACCGGTCCGGCACGTACTCCATGCGCCGTTCGCGCTCCTCCTCCTGCAGTTTCAAGGAGATGCCGCGCACTGGACCGCGCTGGATCCTCTTCATCAGGTGCGTAGTGAAGCCAGCAATCTTGTTGCGCAAGCGCTTCGACGGGATCGTCGCAACCTCCTCCGCGATCTTCTTGTTCACCTGAAAGTCCAGCGTGAGCTTGGGGAAGTACTTCTCAACGATCACGCGAGCCGCCTTCTTCACGGTCTTGGTGCGCACGCGCCCCATCGCTGCTGTGGGCAAGGGCCGCTCCTCCCTGGTTCCTGGCACTGCGGTGTGGCACCCGGAAGCCAAAACGGCTACGGGCCGTCCTCCGAGGGGGGGACCTGAATTGCCCGAACCCCCACCTTTCGAGTCATGAGGGCCAAGAGGCCTCCCAGACCCCTCCAATGAGCCCCAAGAGGGTCCCGTGACCCCCAAAACGAACCTCCAGAGTGCCCCGAGAGTGCCCAAAGAGGCCCCACAGGGCCCATAAAATGGCCTGAGTCGTTTTCAAGAACCTCTCGCAACAACACATCTCCAAAGCCCGATGTCTCATTCTCCTTGCCATCGTCCCGTTCTTCCCTCCTCCTGTGTCAAGGCAGCGGCCGCACCTCAACGACGCGTAAGAAGAATAAGAAGAATTCCTCCCTACGGACAGGTCCGAAACGCAGACAGTAAACCTCATACATAACTCCTCCACCTCACTCTCCTCACTAATACGAAATGATCTCTACCTGACATCATCCTCCTCATCAGTTCATCGTCCTTAACACTACAACGCCGAATCCTCCTGCAGACTCCTCATCATCCTCGACTACTACTGCCTCCTCCTCGGCAATCCTCCTCTCATACTACTCACCTAATATACTCCTACTCCTCCTCCTCCTCCCTCCTCTCCCTCCCTCACTCTCCTCCTCCTCCTTCCCTTCCTCCTTCTCACCTCCTCCCCCCCTCCTCATCCTCATCCTCATCCTCATCATCATCATCATCATCATCATCATCATCATCATCATCATCATCAGCAGCAGCATCAGCATCATCATCATCAGCATCAGCATCATCATCATCATCATCATCATTATCATCATCATCATCATCATCATCATCATCATCAGCAGCAGCAGCAGCAGAGCATCATCAGCATCATCAGCATCTTCCTCCTTCTCCTCCTCCTTCTCCTCCTCCTCTTCCTCCTCATCTTCCTCGTGCCGCATTCCTCCTCCTCCTCCTCCTCCTCCTCCTCCTCTTCCCCCTCCTAATCCTCCTGCTTCTCTGTTTCATCCTTCTCCTCCTGATCCTCTTCCTCTTCCTTCTCCTACCCAACAAATGGTCCCAGGAGGTCGAGCATGGCTCAAGATAGCCTCCGACAGACCTCCAAGAGGCCTCAAGACAGTCTCAAGATGACCCAAGATAGCTGCGTCATGGCTCAAGATAATTCGCCTCTGACAGCATCTAATCTCTAGTCGAGCATGGCTCAACATAGCCTCCAAGAGGCCTCAAGAAAGCATCAGATCGTGCCTGGATGAGCTGGTGGGGATAGGCCAGGCGTCAAGAATTCGCCACAGCTGCACGGTTGGAGGGCGGGTGGTTTTCAAAATGTGGCTCTCGCCTTAAAGCCGCGCACATTCGCCTTGGAGTTAGCAACAGCTTCAAGGATGGAGGGCAGCCCGTTTTCATAGTGTGGCTCTGCCCTCAGCGCCGCGCACAGTCGTTTTGAAAAGATCGCAACAGTTTCAAGGATGGAGGGTGGCGGTCTTCAAAATATAGCTCTCCCCTTAGCGCCGTGCACGTTTGCTTTAAAAGTTTGCAGCGGCTTCCAGGATTCGTACTGTTGAAGTCCTAGGAACGGTGTTATGGCACGATGTAGGATTGTCAGGGCGCAACAGTCACGTTGATTCGCTATGTTGAAGTCCCAAGGAGGGCGTTCTGGCACGATTGAAGATTCTCCGACGACTGCCTTCCACTGGAGCACTTCCCGCAATGAAAACGAATTCTTGTAGGGACCTCTGGAGAGGGAACTTGGAGGGAGGGCTGATTGCAACATAGTTTCTACGTCTTGGGCTTACACTGGTCCTGCTCCTCCTGCTCCTCCTGCTCCTCCTGCTCCTCCTCCTCCTCCTCCTCCTCCTCCTCCTCCTCCTCCTCCTCCTCCTCCTCCTCCTCCTCCTCCTCCTCCTCCTCTTCGTCCTCCTCGTCCTCCTCGCCACCATCCTCGCCACCATTTGGCGGCGCGCACAAGGGGGTGGAGGGGGGGGGAGGGCTTCTTAGAAGGAGGCTGCGTCTTAGAAGGCGCCGGCCTTACATCTGTAGATAAGGCTCGCGCCTTCTAAGAAGCAGGGGTGCTTCTAAGAAGCCCTCCGCCCTCCCCACATCCCCCTCTGCGCGTGGCTGAACCATCCCCCTCTGCGCGTGGCTGAACCATCCTCCTCGCCACCATCCTCCTCCTCCTGCCCTCCTCGCCCTGCCCTCCTCGCCACCATCCTCCTCCAGAAGGGGGGCGGGCCGCGGGCGCGCGGACGTCGCGTGCCGACCCGTCCCTTCTCGGTGTGGCGAGAGGGGAGGCGCCCCTCCCCGTTTCCTCGTCGCCCTCTCCGTCCCCCCCCCCTCCCCCCCTGCCTCCCTCCAAACACTTCCCCCCTCCTCCCCCTCCTCCCTCCCGCTCCTCCCGCTCACACTCCCCACCTTCCTCCCGCCCCCGTTCTCTGCCTCCATCCGGCTCCTCCACTCTGCCTTTTCCCTATCCCCGTTCCCATTTTCTCCCTTCTCCTCCTCCCACTCACCGCTCCTCCCCCTCCCCCGTCACTCCTCCACCCTCCCACCCCATTCCAGGAGACCCCAGAGGCCTCCGGAGGCCAGACAGAAAAAACTCCTGAGAATCTCGACTCCCCGACACGCCTCCTTCATCCTCCTCCTCCTCCTCCTCCTCCTCCTCCTCCTCCTCCTCCTCCTCCTGAGGTCCTCCTTCTCCTCCTCCGAAGGGGCAAGAGGGGGTGGAAGGCAGAGGGCGTCCCCCGACGGCCGAGGCGTGCGCCTTGAAACCGAAGTCACCCTCCCCAGGCTTGGTGCCTGGGTCCTGGGCCTGGCGCGCGGGGCAGGGGGCAGGGCCGATGGTCGTCGATCGTCGGTCGTCGATCGACGGTCGTCGTCGTCGTCGGCCTCCCCCTCGATGCTGACTGCAGGTCCGCTGTTGATATCTGGTACCTGTTACTAAGGCCCTCCCTCCCCGACCTTCGCTTGAGAAGGAGCGCGGATGGTGACGACGACGGCGACGGGGCAACGACGGACGACAGACGGCCGTCGACGGGCTGCAGATGCCCAAAAGGGGGGGTGCAGGGCGGCGACTGTGGACTTTGGCGACGACGACGACGACGACGACGACGGACGACGCCGACGCCGACGACGACGACGACGACGACGACGGACGTCGCCGACGCCGACGCCGACGCCGACGCCGACGCCGACGCCGACGACGACGACGACGACGACGACCGACCGACCGACCGACCGACCGACCGACCGACCGACCGACGACGACGACGACGACGACGACGACGACGACCGACCGACCGACCGACCGACCGACCGACCGACCGACCACGACGACGACGACGACGACGACGACGACGACGACGATTCACCGACTGACCGACCGACCAACACAGCGACGACGACGACGACGACGACGAAGAGAAGGTGGTGGGTGACGAAAAAAACAAAAGTCCGCCTCCATATCATCATACCCCACAAAATACGTCGATGGTCCCCTAGGAGGATGTTTGTTGTTTATCGCGCACGCCTCAATTGGGGCCACAAGACGGATTAGAGGAAGACCACTCTAGACGGCCTCTGGAAGAAGGAAACGTGAGCCTCCATCTGGGTTCACTCTTTAACCCCATCTTGGGCGAATCCCCGAGCCTTGTGGACGTCAGTGGCTTAGCGAGTTTCATCTTCCAACCCCCCTTCCTCCCCTTCGGGGAGGGGCCACCACTGTTCCTCATTGACAAACACTCCCTCACCCAGGCGACCGGCAGCCAACCAGGACCAATGCCGACCCCCCACAGCATCCCTGTCAAAGAATAAGGCAAAATGCGCCATGGGGCAAAATCTTCTGGGCCATGCTCGAGGGGTGCGTGAACACTTTGTGTTGTGTTTGACAGGGACGGCGGGGGGGGGCGCATGCTGCCTGCTGCGCGCAGGACCACCATCCCTGTCAATGCAAAGTGCACTTCGCGGCAAAAGCTGCATCATGCGAGGGCACCCCGCGATCACCTTGCATTGATTCTTGACAAGGAGGGCATGGGTGCTGGCATATTCCCTGTTGTGTGCAGGCCCACCAGGCACTATGATGACCACCCAGCCGCGATTGCGCACTGGCTTTCGGGAAGGGTGGTGGGGGCCGACATGTTTCCCGATGTGTGCTGCCACGTGCGCGGGCGCACCTGGCACATTCTGCGCGTGCCCAAAACGTGGCGCACCTGGCGCGGCTGGAGCATGCGGCACACATGGCGCACGTGCAGCACGTGGCGCATCTAGCGCACCAGGCGTGCCTGGCACGTTTGGCCCCAGGGGCTCCTGCCGAGCATGGCGTTCGGGGCGCACCTCGCACCAGCGTCGCGCGCATGGAGTTCGTAGCACCCCGCAGATGCAGATGCGAGCGAGGGGGCGGTGGGCACGTCGGCAGTTTGAGAGACTCTGGAGAAGCACGCCGCAGGCGCCAAAATTTCACAAATTGTACAACGAAGAAAGAATAAAAAGAGGAAACAAACGAAAAAGACGAAAGAAAAAAAAAAAGAAAAGACAAAAAAAGAAAATAAAAAAAAAATCAAAAGGGAAGAAGAAGACATAGAAGTGAAACAAAAAGAAAAACGAAAAAAAAAACGCGAAGAACGAGAAAGAATCCGACAGAAAAGAAAACAAACGCAAACCATAAAAAGAACACCCTCACCCGCACCCACCACAGCCACCCACCGCCGCACGTGCGCCCCCGCCGCATGGGGGGGACGGCGGCCGGGGGGGGGGGGGCCCGTGTGCGACCGATTACTATCATCAAACCAATGTGAAATCGTCGCGTGCGGGTCGCGGGGTGGGTCGCGGGGTGGGTCGCGGGGTGGGTCGCGGGGTGGGTCGCGGGTCTCGGGGGGGGACGCAGGGTGAGTCGCGGATGTGTCGCAGGGTAGGTCGCGGGTGGGTCGCGGGGTGGGTCGCGGGGTGGGTCGCGGGGTGGGTCGCGAGTGGGTCGCAGGGTGGGCGCGGGTGGGTCGCGGGGTGGGTCGCGGGTGGGTCGCGGGGTGGGTCGCGGGGTGGGTGGCGGGGTGGGTC